GATGCGGTACCTGGCGTCGAGCGTTGTGCCCAGCCCTCCCCGTACCGCAGACGTCTCACCCTTGCTGACACGTCTTGGCGCTGCCTCAGCTCCCGGGCTCATTCCGAGGCCTCTCCTCTTTGATGGTCCATCTGCTGTTCAGCATCTTCTGCCTCCGTCAGAGACGGTTCCCTCTTGCCCCGCACTGCAGACGTGGCACCTCCAGCCCTGACACGAGCTCCCACACACAGCCCTGACGGGACCGACACAGCCATTGAAATGAGCCTCGCGAAGGCAGCGACCTGGTGCGAGCAAACCTGGGACGATTACAGGGAAGACAGGCCATGGCATTCAGCTGCTCTCACAGCCTGCCTCAGATCTTTATTTGCTTTTGTTGCTTTCGCTTTTCTTACTTAAAAAGCCTGACGTGTCATCAGGTTTCCTGCTGGTGATTAAAGGCCCCGGAGCCGGGTCCTGCTGTGGACAATGCCACTCCTGACTTGCAGAGAGATCCTTTATGCTGGCGCTTCAGGCATTTTTTCCGCCGTGCTTGGCTCAGGTGTTGGTACCACAGGGCTCAGCGAGGGGATGGTAAACACGAGCCAACACCGGTGCTGGGTGCGGTGCGGTGCAGGGCACCTGCTCTGGGGCACGGCGTGGCCCGGCTACGTCCCCTGCACTGGCCACCAGCGGGTCAAAGCCCAGAGCCACCGCAGTGCTGGGGACAAGGGTCGGATGAATGCGGCCAGCAACTGGATTTTCTCCAGTAGAGAAGTGAAGCAGTGTGAGCTCCTCCGTGTTACCCAGCAGTATCCTTCACGCTGCGCAGGAGAGCTGTCTGTGGAGGCGGAGGCTGGACAGATATCCCTGCGTCGGCAGCAGCATCCCTCTCGATGCATCTGTGATGGTTTTTTTTAAAGCCGTACTTGCCCAGCTGATGTTGCTTGGAAATCAAATTTGTAAATACATTTAATTTGGAACTTCATCAGTCTCCTTCAAACTGTGATTTATTCAAAGACTGATCAGATTAAATCTGTAGGTTGCAGTGGCTATAAAATATTTACGTTGACTTTCAGTTACGCTGCACATTGATTTCCAGAGAGCAGAAGTGACGTGCAAGGCTCTAAATCTTCCGGGCTTCTGTGGTGCTGTTGGTAGAGCGGGCTCTGAACGTCCTTCTTGCTTATTGCACGCATTAAAAATAAAGGGGCTTCAGTTGTGCCAAGTCCAGTCCTCAACTACGGGCGTTTGTCTGTCCTAGGCCGAACCCAGAAGTGGGGGGCGTTCTCCCAGCCCGCGGTGGTGATGTCCCATGGGGATGCGGATGCCTCTGCTCGGCAGAGGGTGTTTGGGCGGTGGTGGTGGCTGCCCCGAGACGCCAGCTCAGCGCCGTCTGTAGGTCTCCACTGCCAAACCGGAGCCTCCTTTGCCGTGCGGCAGTGTGGCTCCAGGGATGCCCGCTCCCCTCCCAGGAGCATCCTGCGGCGCCAGGGCCTGGGGACAGGCAGCTCCTCCCTTGGCTGATGCCGGCGCTTGTCCTTTCCTCTTCCACAGTTTTCGAAGAGCCTGAAGATCCGAGTAACCGGTCGTTTTTTTCCGAGATCATCTCCTCAATCTCCGATGTCAAATTCAGCCACAGCGGGAGGTACATCATGACCCGGGACTATCTCACCGTCAAGGTGTGGGACCTGAACATGGAGAACCGGCCCATCGAGACCTACCAGGTGAGTGTGGCATGGCCAGGCACTGGGACGGGTACAAGTCTGATAGATGGGAGCATCATGCCATTACGCCATGGAAGGCAAAGGAAGGGGTGTTAGTGTGGGCTCGAGCGGCTGGTGAATTGTAACCCCAATCCCCAGGCTGGGTGTGGGGGTGGGGGCAAGCTCAGGCACTGGTGGCCAGGAGGGACACGTGGGAGGCAAGTGTGGCCCTGGCCACCCTCTGCCGGGGGACGTGCCCTGGCGCTGCCTGGTGCTGCTGGAGCTGTACGTGGAGCGGTGCCGGTGCGGCTTCTCCCAGTGGAATGGTGGCCGTGGCCAAGGCCATGTTGATAACGGGCCGTGCCCAGTGCTGCCTGGCTCAGCCTGGCATTTGCCGGCTGCTGGGCTGTGCTGCTCCGTGTGGGGGCCTCACAGCCCGTCCCTCTCTGCCGGCAGGTTCACGACTACCTGCGGAGCAAGCTGTGCTCGCTCTACGAGAACGACTGCATCTTCGACAAGTTCGAGTGCGTCTGGAACGGCTCCGACAGGTGAGCAGTTCGTCGGCGCGGCTCCACACTGGCACCCAGCCCTGCAGGTGCCGAGTTCGGCCCGGGGGGTGCACGCTTTGGGGTGGCCCCCACATCTCCGTACGGTCCCTTCCCCAGCCTTTGTCTGGGTGTGGGGTCTGGAGAGTTCTCCCATGGGTACCACGGGGATCACCTCACCCGAGCGCAGCTGAGGGTGTCTGATGGGGTCCCGGCTCCCTCCTGGACAGGTTCGGTCTCTTTCTCAATTTCACCCACACCTGGAGGAGGGTGGTGATGCGCTTGGCTCCAGATTGCCAGAATCTGGGGGTGACAACTACCCACCCATGAGTCACACCGAACCAAGTGGCAGAAAGCGTTCAAGACCAGTTGACCCGGCAGGATTGCCATGTTTTTGTCTCTGAATGCTTGGAGCGAGTTAACATGGCACAGCTGGCCCAAAGCCCAAATTCCAGATCTAATCCAAAGCTTGTTACGCCTCTGGATATTCAGTCTGCCTCCGGTCATGGGGCGGTCTGCTTCTAAAAAGGGGAAAATCATTCGGTTCAGGGCAGCTCGATCTTTGCCGTGAAGACTGGTCTCCGTACGCGTTGCTATCCTGAAAGGAGTTGCCTCCCCATGCGCGTTCCCTGGGTTCAGGAGGAGGCCGTGGGGATGTGGCTTCACGGGCCGAGCCTGGGCCTTTCGGTGCACAAGCTGCCTGGGGTCCCGGTTGTGCCCCCGTGTCCTCTGGAGCCCATGCCGGACAGGGCCGGGGTGTCACTGCCGGGGGGCTGACGGGGGCAGGGACAGTGACCCATCTGTCCTCCCTCCTTGCAGCGTCATCATGACCGGCTCCTACAACAACTTCTTCCGCATGTTTGACCGCAACACCAAGCGCGATGTGACGCTGGAGGCCTCGCGGGAGAACAGCAAACCCCGCGCCATCCTCAAGCCCCGCAAGGTCTGCGTGGGTGGCAAGCGGAGGAAAGACGAAATCAGCGTGGACAGTCTGGACTTTAGCAAAAAGATCCTGCATACAGCTTGGCACCCCTCCGAGAATATCATTGCCGTGGCAGCGACAAATAACCTGTATATATTCCAGGACAAGGTTAACTAGGAGGACAAGTTGTTCTTTAGGAATCTCATGTACTGAATACTAGTAAACACAAGATTTCAAATGTTTCTTTTCTTTCTTTTTTTTCTTCCTTTTCCTCCCTGTTCCTTGGTTCAGGCACTGCTCTGCAGCCACGGCCGTGCAGAGGCGAGCGCTTCTGCACCCAGGGGCACGCGCCCGACTTCTCTCCGGTTACGCGTTGCAGCCGAGACGTGATGTGGGGCGGCTGGGGAGGCGTGAGCTGTTCGCTCTCCCAGCGGCACCAGGGTGGCCGTAGCTGGCAGCCGAGCGTGGCGAGGTGGGAACCCGGGCTGCTGCAGCGCCCGGGGAGGAGGGGGGCGTGCGGCGTGTGCCCCCGGGGCCTCTGGTCACCACAGCCCTGCGCTGACGGTCTTAAACTTGATCCCAGAAATGTTCCACCTGTTACGCTGCCAGATGGGAACGTCGTCCCCTTTGCCATTTGTCACGTTAGTCTTTTTTATTATTATTGTTTTGTGCTTTTACCAACAGAGACAGCAAAACCAAAAGTAAAATGGAAAAGTTCAGATTTGCAATGGACAAGCTTAAAGGGGGGGATCTGCTGCGCACCGAGACGTGTCTGCTCTGGCCGGCTGCTGCCGCCCCCCACCCCACAGAAACTCTCCTGAGGATTTGGCTTTGTAGATACTGTGGTGCCTTTTTTGGTATATGACATACCTTTATAAATGATGCTTCCAAACTGCATTGACTGCGAACCAAATTGATCCTGGGCTTTTCTTCTGCATTTGTTGTCTTTTGCTTTGGTCATTTTTACTTGTTTTGTTGTAAGCTCCAGCATGATGTGACTGTCTCTCCCTTTCTCTCTCTCTCTCTCTCTCTCTCTCTCTCCCTTTTTTTATTTATTTATTTATTTATTTGATTTTTTTTAAAGATGAAGTGTAAGTTGCTAATTTATGACCTTCTAAAAAAGATTCCAGCCGTATATTGCTGTTAACAACTGACTGCTTCAGAGAGAGGCTGTCTGTGGTCCTACATGATAATAATAATAATGATAATAATAAAAACAATAACTCTTCCTCTTTGCATGGCGAGGCTGCCCCTTTCTACTCTAAAGATTGTTCAGGTCCCTAGAGACCACTTCAGCTCAGGCTTTGACACAACAAGCTACACCTAAGGTTAGAGCAGAGTTTCCATCTCAATTCACCAGGTAAAAAAAAAAAAAAAAAAAAAAAACACAAACTACTGAACATTCAGTCCATCTGAAAACCACTCCTGCAGCAAAAAAACAAATGAATAAATAAAGTCGATGACTGAAAAATTCAGCATCGTCACTTTAGGAGTGGCTCCGTAAGGGCGACCCCGCTGTCCGTCCCTTTGGCCGGGGCAGCGCCTGCTCCCTGCGGGGACAGTCGCAC